GAAAAGAAGCAAGGAGAGAAACAACAGCAGTGGCAAGAAAACCTGCAACAGTGGCAGCTCGATCAGCAAAATAAACAAGAAGAGAGACAACAGCAGTGGTTGGAGGAGAAAGAAAATAAACATGCAGAGAGGCTACAGCTGTGGTTGGAGGAGAAAGAAAATAAACAAGAAGAGAGGCTACAGCAGTGGTTGGAGGAGAAAGAAAATAAACACGAAGAGAGGCTACAGCAGTGGTTCGAGGAGAAAGAAAATAAACAAGAAGAGAGACTACAGCAGTGGTTGGAAGAGAAAGAAAATAAAAATGAAGATAGACTACAGCAGTGGTTGGAAGAGAAAGAAAATAAACAAGAAGAGAGACTACAACAGTGGCAGGAAAGCCAGTACCAAGCCAGGAAACTGGAACATAAAAAGAAATAGGAAGAAAGACTCAAACAGTTGAGAGAAAGCGAGCACACACAAATGGAAAAGATGAGTAAATTTCAAAGTGAATTAAGTACATTAAAGGACGATTTACTGTCTTTTCCACAAGGAGGATATATTAGCCATGGGACTAATCAGCCCCAAACAACAGGAAGCCCCTTCTAGACCCCGCAGCTAAACCCTAGTGCAGACATCTTCAGTACTGTCAGAAGTCGCATTCCAGACATGAGTGTCAGGAATAGGGGTGATCTAGTACGAAGGAAGACACAGGAATTCGATGGGGAGGAACCACTGGAAGCATATAGAGCACAATTTGAGTTCCTGACAGAAATGAATGGATGGTCATAGGAGCAGAAGGCAGTGTACCTGGCAATGAGCTTGAAGGGACAACCACTGGAAATACTTGGACAGTTGTCAGCAGACGACAGGCACAACTATAGAGCACTGGTAGCTGCTCTAGAACTCAGGTATGGAACTCAAAATCAGTCCAAAGTCTACAGGGCTAGGTTTAGGACTACAGTCCATGCTAAAGGGGAGAGCCTGCAAGAGCTGGCACAGGATTTGGAAGGTTTGGCACACAAGGCCTATCCAACTGTGCCACCCGATGTCCTCAAGCTGTTGCTGAGGGATCAGTTTGTGGATGCCTTGGACAGTCCACAACTGAAGATACAAGTAAAGAAAGCACACCCCTCTACTATACAAAATGCAATGGCCAGAGCTCTTGAATTCAAATCCTACATTAAGTCCAACACAGATGTACCAAGGTTGATACAGTCATCAGGATTCAAGGCCAGAAATGAGCAGCTTCCAGAGAAGTTTGAGGGACTTTGCTGGCACTGTAATAAACCTGGGCACAAGAGAGAGCTCAATGCTGGCAACTGCAACACAGGGAAGATGATACAGCAGGAAAGGCTGCTACCCAGAAAGGCTGCTGGAACTGTAGAGAGCAAGGACATATGAGGAGCCAGTGTAAGAAGAATACCACCAATAAGTCAGCTTCGGGGAAACCAGTAGTGGTTGGTATTGCAGTACGCCCATTGTGAAAGTCCCAACAGTTAGGTGTAAAATGCCAAGCAT